ACATATGCTTATATGTAAAACAGATACGAAAATCTCTCTAGATCTTTTAAACTCGAAAATCAAATCCGTAGTACGTCGGAGCCAGGTAGCACCGCTCGGAACGGGTCTCATGATAGGTTGAGAAAACAATGGACAAACAATAGATAAGTCTTCSAACAATATAACAAAACCTAACCTAACAATAGTGGTGCTGTACATAAGGAGCAATCAAAAAGCAGGTTTCAATTGGTACTGCATTACTGGAACGTCGTGGCGTGCTGTTGTGATATCCTCAGTGTATCACTGTCACTAATAATGTTAACACTTCTCTCTCACTTTCTGTTAGTACTGCGTAGAAAGTTACATGGCGTTTAGTCCTCTTGCATTCCACTTAAAAAGAGGATATAGTCCTGCCGAACCTGAAGGATCTTGGGATACTAGAGGGTTTAAGTTAATGGCAATGTTTCAGAATGATTGGCAAAATCACTTGTACGGCACAAAGCATCTAATCATCCTGGAAAAGACCAAGATTTGGAAGATTTGGAAATGCAATCTTGTCCGAATTAGGATCGAAAATCTGTTTTATTTTTCATCACTGTGACATGGCATTAAAACTGAGACCTTGCTAGTAGCACAATATTTCTGGAAAAGAAGAAAAATAATACTTTTTGAACTGCATCAACCATACGCACAAAGCACTTGTAGTGAAGGAATCTAAAAACTGGGATTTTGCGAATCGAACATATCACTCAGTTTCTTGATTAGATAACACTTTCCTTTCTTTGATTAAAACCTTAACCTAAACGTAAATGTAAAGAGATCAGACTTTTACTTTAGAAATTCATTAATCAATTACCTGAAAGTTGGAAAAGCAATTGTTTAAGTCTTTTTTAGCTTTTTTTGCCGTCGAGAAGATCTAATCAGGGAAAAGTACATTGGACTATATTAATCCAAGTTTAGTAACGGAGAAAATTCGGMTTGATGATCACATGSAATTAGCTCAAAATGCCCATAGTCTTCATTGCGTTTAAATTGTAAGCCCTCATTAGAGTGCTGGATCATTCATTGACCACACAGTTGTTTAGTATAATTCTTCCATTGCGAACAGCTTTTTTTCTCTCTGTAGAAATGCTATTAATAGATAATTAAAACGCAAACTTGCCAGTGAACACAAATTCTCGCTGACTCCATGCTTGCTGTACACCCTATAATCTTTTATAAAGTAAATACATGATCTACGTATCTGCTGCGTGTTTTTATTATCATTGTCTGTGGTTCCTCTTACATTTGCTGACTTTTTGGATAAGCCAACGAKCAKGCTTATGACAGCGATGGGCATGTCACACCGTTGATGTCTTCTACTGTGATGTCTGGTGCTTTTGCTAGCAAGAACGTTTTAATCTGGTCCACGCTTACGCTAGCTAACTTATATATGCATATGTCCGATACCACTTCGGCGTTAAGCTTAGGAGCTTTCCCTCCTTCACACTTGTCCTGAAGAACTTTTTCTTTTTGATCTGGTGTTAGACCTGCTGGAGAACCACCATCACACACGCCTTGTTGGATTATCTTGTTGTTCATTTTACAATTCTCAGTGTAGAACTCCAGGTCTTGAGCCTTACTTCTCTCTTTTAAGGCTTCCATAAACATCTGTTTTGTCGTGTAAGGCTCACCTTTGACCCTGCACTGGTCGATCGTATCAATCTCTGAAGTTTGTGCATCGGCGTAAAGCTGATCGAATGTCTTGGCTCCATTTTGACAACCTCTTCTGATCTAGCATTGCAAAGAAAATATAGAATTTGTGAAAAATATATAAACAGCAAGCCAAACCCCCAAATACAGTACGAGAAAGAGAGAAAAGTAAAGAATCAAGCCGCCAATGGCGACACAACTCGAAGATTGTCATACAATAAATCTGGACATAAGTCTGTATAAAGCCTCTTACGAAAGATAAAGTTTATATGAATCGATGAGCATTAAATCACTAATCGACGTGGATCGGAATAATCCTTGAAATCATCGTAATAGCAATGCTGTATCTATGAGCCATATTCACACGATATCTCCTAAAACGACTTCTGAAATCAACAGATTCTTATGCAAGAACCTCCAGACCTCAAAAATCACATTTTGCGTTTAAAAAGCCATTTCTGTATCAAAACACCTGGCCATCTTGGTTACAGATTTCAAAATGCCCGTATGTTTACAGAAAAAAAAWTAGTGACTAATTAACTAGTCCCCCTCACACATCATCTCCCTCATCTCCCTCCTATAACTCTTCGATTGCTTCGCAATCTTCGAGTTAAAAAAGACCGGGTACAACCTATGTGTATTCGCGACTTTCCATACTCAGGTTCAATGACTATGAACAAAGCATTGAAACGAGGCGTCAAGATGAAGTGAGCATAAAAGAAAAGATCTGTACTCAGTGTTCCTTGACGCCTTTCTTCAATGCTTTTGTTTCTAAGCTTGCTTCTCTCACGTGTTTCTCAACTCTCACAGTATTTATATCAGAGAAACAGAGGCTCGCGCGCCGTTTTATATTTCTTAAATATATCATAATCATGGCCTCAACTATGTACTGTTTCTCTTGTAAGCGCTTTTATATAAAGACGACTCGGCTACCTTTCATGATGCTACGACAGTTTTGAGCACAAAGTATGATAACTACCATCATGCTTTGCTGCACAAAATGTCAACAGACGGCGGGTTTATTCGTTTAAGACTTACTCTGTCGTTCATCTTATTTCTTGCTATTAAGCATTCATAAACATATTCCTGTTTTGAAAGACAATCATCAATAAGCTCCTTCATTTTGTTCCCCAGGTCCTTCCAATTCTTGCTAGTTTTAAACAAGTTGATGTATTCTGGAATTATTCGGATGCATTTTGCTGTCCAGGTCCTCGGCGGCTGCTGATTATTCGGAGGAGGATTACATTGGATCGTTTCTTTAATATGTCCCAAGGCGTTTAACATATCCTTTTCTTTGATCTCCTTTTGTATGTGAGCTTCTAACTAAAAAGAGAAAAAACACATATGATATTCCTATGCATAATTGAKGTACAAAATGATTACTTATTTCTTTGGTGCTATTCAATCATGTTACACTACTTATATATTATTCAGTCTACTTTCTTGCAGGTAACATTTTTTTATGGTGTTAATTGCCCTATTGTATGTTTGAATGAGAGTTAATGCGAAGTTTTSATTGATCTGTTATGAAACCAAACAGTCATTTAGTTAACCCTGCGAGATTTGGAATTGTTCACGACGATCGCGATAATTAAGCATGCTGTAAATGTTGTTTAATCAACGTGCAAGTATGACACGCTGTTTAGCTTTATTTTATTGAAATATACCCCTAAAAGATATCACGCTGTTACGAAAGAGGGCAATATTTTCAACCCTAAAAGATAACAACTAAAAATTTATAAATTTATATTTTTAAGCACTTTTATCAATTCTAGTAACCTCAACATTAAATACTTCTTCAACCTAAGGTTTATAAAACGATTTTATGCATTCTCTGACCTATCGATGTCATAAACAGGGACAAATGAAATATGTGAACCCTATAAGATACCAGATTTTTGCAGCTAATAGATACGACGATCATCCCCGCCCCTCCATWTGTGGGAGTTCCCCCAGGGAGTTAATARACTATCGGTATTTGTTTGTTAAAAAAATGGCGATTTCCTACCTCAATTCGCAGTGAGTTCTCAAAACGTGCCACACTATCTTCCATCTTTTTAACTTCGTCTTCAGCTTCTTTAAGTCTAGCGTTAGATTCCTTTGCTTTCTTTACTTTGTCTGCGCATTGGACAAATGTGTTGACGATGGTGAAAATGTCGAAAGCTGTTAGAAGCAAAACGTAAGCGTTAATCAAAATTTTTATTAGTTTTTGTAGTTGAAATTTCTCATACGCTTGAATTTCACAATCTATGGTATCCCCTGYCATTTCAATATATTCTTTRRGAMTTTTTGATTGAATCGGTGACTACCCTGTATGCACCGTCCTATAGTTATTTGCCAGAGTGTTTTCCTCTTTCAATTTTAATAGTTGCTTAATTGAACACTACCTCTAAACTTACCAATGCCTACTAATGACAGAACTGTTCCTGCAACCTTGAAAACTTTTAATGCTTTCATTGCTGTTTTAGCTTTACCAGCGAACTTTGCGATGGCAGTGGCCTTGAGAAACAGTTTTGCTCCATCGTCTGTGTATCCGAGAAGCTTTTGAGCTTTTGGTGCAGCTTTGAGAAGTTTTTCTAATTGAGTTGACTTCATTGCCTTGTAAGCCTGAAWGTAAAATTTAAAGAATAATCGCTTATTATGTAAACTTTAAGAAAATATCCGATCTTGTGTTCAGACACGCAAAAAATAACTTGAGCAATGAATTGGGCTTTTTGTTACCTTTACGTAAAAAACCCATTTCAGTTATCATGCATTTCGGGCTAAGCTAAGAGGTATTCAGCATGCATGTTGCAGATTAATACAAGATGCACTCTTTTCATGTTCATAGCATAGAAATCTTTCAAAAAGTCTGAGATTCTATGTGTAGCGGGATACTTGTGTGGCCAGGTTACAAAGGGTGGTCTGTCTTTGCTTGACGAGAACATTGGAATATTCCAAAACATAACATTCACATCTAGCTCAAGCCAACCCTAACCAAATAAAAAAAAAGATTTTACATACCTACCTTATTAACTTTGTATGCTTTGAACGCTTTACCAGAAATTCCGCTTACACCATCAATCGCCAGAAGTCCCCATGATGTGGCTAATTTTATAGCTTGCTCTACTTCACCTATTTTAGCAAACGCTACATCAAAATCTGCCTCATCTAGCGTGCCAGAGCCTTCTCTGATACGGTCCTGTATATGATAAAAAGGGACAGATTGTATAAATAAAATGACAATATTTTTAACATGATTTGAACAAAACATTTGGACTGTCGATGCAATCATAGTTAACACATAGAGTGGAATGATTCGKAAACCTTTTGTTGTACTACTTTTGCAAATCTTTTGTATGTATTTTGAGGATGAATCCGTCAAGACCATGCGTTTTCTTACAGTGGATGGAAATTGCAAAAATGAGTGAGCATGAACACTCTCTATTAAAAAAACTTTTTCGAAAAAYTTTTTCATTCCCTATATTATAAGACTGGCAACATACTTGATGATCGATGGCAGAGAAAGTTTTGTAGAGCCTCATACCTTTGTATTTCTAAACAATTGGCGAGAAATAAAAGTTGCATATCCCTCTTCCCGGACCCTCGAACATCATTAAAAACAATGACCGCTTTCTTTGTGAAATACTTGCAATTGAATTGTGTGTATCTTTGAAGTTCTTGAGTTCGCCGTTATCGAAGCCATTATCGAAGGGAAAATCCCCCGTCGCGTGAATTTATAGTCCAATAATAAGCGGTGGAAAACAATTGTTTTATTGACGTGTCAAAAACTCATAAAYAATTAGCTCTGCCCCCAATGATTCGGAATTTCTGGCAATGATGAATTTGAGCCCGATTCTTGGTGATATAATACAAGCGCGGATCCAGCTGGTGGGTGCAAGGGGTGCGCACCCCCTCCTGAGATCTGTATGGTAATGGTTTTTGTCGGGGGTGCATCCCCTCCTGAGAGCCCTGCACCCTTCCCCAAGGAAAATCCTGGATCAGCCCCTGTTATGACACGCGATTTTCACTCGTTTTAAACACGAAGATACTTCTACAATAATTACCCGTTTATTACTATATGACGAATACAAATTCCATTTACTATAAATACCATACCGTTGTTTGCTTTTGCTTTAATAGGACAATTTCCTTTATTGTTGCATCCGTAGAAGTGAGAAGGTCTTCTTCAAGTTTCACTAAACGAGCAATGCCCGCCCAAAAGTTTTCGATTGTCTTCCCCAAGCCTATCAATGAATCTTTTCTCTTTATGGCTATGGAAAAAAAGTAATTAACGGTAATCTAAGAGAGCTCAAGTCTGATATATTAAATTCAAAATCGATATATTACAACAGGTTGCAAGTTGTCCTGCAAGTAGCTGAAAGTTGATCAAGGCGGGACAGACAGTGTGTCATCTACATGATGGTCTTCCATCGGGCAGTTATTATTATCTTTGAGTAAACATGACAGTTTGTCAATTTTGACATACATTTTTGGCGTCGAAGTTTTCACTATGTAATTTGTGCGATTCAGAATCTAATGCTCCATATTTGTGATCTTATCTCGTCGTGTGAGAAAGAAGACTTTAACATTATATGCGCGATTGAGCTAATAAAATTGGGCGATAATTAAAATCAGATATTTRCAAATTTGTATCACACCGCTCTTGTTGCAAAGGTAAAACCCCTGGTTSCACTTTGAAACAAGGGAAACTCCCCGGGTCGGCTTGTTCTGACGCTGACTCGTTCCATTGTAGTTAAAGCGGTTATGTCGACCACTTTAAAGTTTTTCTCAGCCGCTTCTGTTCCTTGCAGACTGACAGGAGCTGGATATGCATTCTATGATTAGCTTGATGGTTTTTACAACTTTTTCTAGGCATCGTCGTGATTGCTACTCAAGTCCACCAATCATTTCTAAATTGAGATCTATAGATGCGTCGTTTTCTCCTTTTTCTCRTATAATGTCATCGTTTATAAAGTGGTATCGAGTGTGAATGTGCCCGTGTCCTTGAAGATCTCTTAGCGTTATAACTAATCTATTTTTTATATTAGTTWAAGATATTCAATTAAGATCATGCAAGTACCAAAACGAAGTACTTGGTAAGTTTTTTTATTTTATTGTATATTTTTTACCTTGCTCTAGCCTTTTATCCACTTCACCAGCTCGTCTTTCCACCTCGTTCTTCCGTCTATTGAATTCTGACTCAAATCCACAAAGATAATGAAAGCTAAGACCACAGCATCCTGCGATGTCGTAAACTGTCTCGACCACTGTGGCTACCACAGTCACTATCAGACTGACGATGAATATGAAAAGACCAAAAAATCCTTCAAAAAAGAAAGGTGATATGATCATTATTGGACATCAAATATAARTGATAAAAATGATGAAGGGGATACTTACTTTTCCCTCTGATCAGCGGTCTACCAATTCCTGTCCTGAGAGTGATGTCTGTTATTAAAATCAAAAGGTTAATTTTGTCTCACTTATAACAGTAAAGATATATTATGGTCACAGCACCGTTAATCAGAAATAACATACATTATAGTTTGATATATCCGTTCCTCTTCTATTGTAGTAGTGTCAACTTACTGTGTTTGGCCTCGACTTCTTGGATAGCGTTTCCAAATTCTTTAACATCGTCATCCATGTCTGCAACACATGGCAAAGTAAGTTTTAATTCAAGGTTGTCTTTTTCTGAGGGTTGTCCGGGACTGGTCTTAATATATCCGGCCGTCCTCGTCMTCGTGTCATTGCTATTAGTTTTAGCTTATCCAAGTAATCAATTTTGCTGAAAATCTAGGGATTTTCGTCAGGTATAATTGATGGAGGAGGGTTGTCAGTTTCGYACTTTCAGATTACAACTAGATATATCTTTTCTTTTCTTTATATTTTAAGTTTGTACCGGAAACCATTGTACTATGCCTCGTAATAAAATATGCTGGAAGGAACGCTGGGAAAAATAAGATAAATAAGGGTTTTAAGGACGGGTTTAGTTTTGTGAGCCTGTGAATTATATGTAAAAGTTTTAGTCCTTTTAAGCTTTTTTCCTCAAACGCCTGTACGATTTACAGTATAAATTAATGCAGAAAATTTTTTGAGTCATGATAAAAACTTTAAACGAGTTTTAATGCAAAATGTTTTCGTACGTAGGATTCATTATAAATACTCAGTTTTGTTCCTTCTACGTGTGTTTTAATATTCCGAGCTTTCGGACAACTTGTCCATCATCAGGGCAAAATGAAATTACAATGCGTGCGCGAGGATACAAATGTAAACAAAACACTATGGTAACATAACTGCTTAAGAGCGCGCAATAGTTCAAATCAATAAACATGCTGCGCGAGCATAGAATTACACGAAAAATCATTGGATTACAATAAAAGGATAGAATGTTAAGACTAGTTAATGTGTCAAGAGTTCTTTATAAGAATCAGGCAGAGTTCGTCCACTATTTTTGTTAAAAAGGCAGTTTTTGTTTTTTTAAAATCTTTATAGCTTCAAGCCAGCGTCTTTTAATGCAGTTTAAACCTTTTGCAATCTAAATATTTTCTATCATGGAAATGATGTTTTAGAGCGCTTCCTGTGTAAAGTTTTTTTAAGCATACTTAGTGTCRTGGTCTTCAGGTCAGACACGATGGCCCCGAACTTGAAATATTACTATGATTTACTACGAGCTTCTGACTTACACCAAAATAGACAAACATATGTAAATGTATAGTAGTAATCAATGCTTCTGGCTAATCAACTTGAGATTTTTCAATATGTATCGAAAATGTTCGAGAATGCCAGGTCGCAGAATGTTGAGCAATGGATTTCTTACAAAGAGGTCGGATGTTCTTTGATAATTTTAAAGTGCTACTTGCATGAAAATGGACTTATTTCAAAACTTCAAGAAATAAGAATATATGACTCATTTATATCTATTAAAAACAATTGCGGGAAAATATTTATTGTTTTGGAATTATCGCACATCGGGAAAATTTTGATTGAAAATATGGAAGAACAAAAGGATGGAGTAAATGACGTCATTTACTCCAACATTTTTTGCCAAATTATTAAGGATTTGTATCAATATCTTCTTGAAATCTGTTGCCTCATGATTATTAGACCCATATGGATAGGTCTATTTGATTTCCAAGTATTTTCTAATATTTCGCAATTTTCGTCCAAGTAGCCCTTTAAATTTCTCTATTTGAATGTTTACCTTCATGTATCATTCGAGCAGACATCAAGAGATGCTCATTGTAGCTGGAACGAGCCTGAATAAAGTCTTGATGAAGAACAATCAGGCAAAGAAGCATGGCCAGTCTTTTTGATGGACGAGCCATTGTTCATATCAAACTAAATATTAAAAGGCGCAGGAATGAGAACGTATTTAGTTTCAAATAAAATGATGGAGTCAAACCCCTTACCGTACTAAATGATAGCAGGTTTGTTACGTCATGTCTGGAACTGCACGGATCACATCACGACCAAATCACGGAAGAATCAAGGAAGTTTGGTTGATTATAACTAAATACTAAACGATGAAACACAGCGCCTATTGCATTGATTGACCAGCCACAGATGATTCACATTCTGTTACATGTACTTACATACAAACAATCCGCCAAAAGTCACTGTGTGATTCAACTAAAAGGCACCTGATAGGCGTTCTTTTGGGGTGAGTTGCTACTGGTATAWATTCCAACCATAAAATGAAAACACCCACTTCTTTCATCTTATAATTAATATTAATGAAAATGGATGTATAAAAATTATTATTAGTGTTATTTTAGAATTGACATATATTATCAATATAGTATGGTTAATTAAACTACGCAATTCCAATTTGAATGGATTGGATTGGTAATGTATTACTTTGTTATCACAATTCACTGTCGGTATGGTTGGATGACTATTTGTGGGTTCAAGTGCGTCCAAATACCTTCACTATTGGATACCAACATGTATTGAGCTATGGTTCTTAGCCGATTATGACAATGTCATAACAATATGTCATAAAATGTCATAAAGTACGATACATTATGAAAAACCTTAAATGAACTTAAATTAGAGAACAACTTTTAGTTACTGCGCTAGTCGAACTACTGCGCTTTCCCAAATGGATATATCCAGTTGTGCACAATACATCATTTMGTTCAAAAAAGGGACTTTTTACTTCTTGGACAAAGATTTAACTGACCGACTAAACAGCGAGTTGTAAGATTGCAACGTAAGTAATGATTTGTGTGGTGTTTAAGAGCTGATGACCACATTATGAACACAAATATAGTGAAATTCGCGTTGTATTAGTAGAATTATTATTTTTTTAACATGAAGAAGACGGAAGAGTCACAGATGACGACATTAACCATGGGCGGATTTAGGGTCCGCAGCTCACCCTTTTCCTGAACATGCAAAAAATGAAATAAAAGTAAAAAAAAGACAACAAGAAAACTTCGAAAAATAAGTAACTCTCAAAAAAATGTGCACATTTTTTACTTATCATTTGCATTTACGACTTTAGGAAGGAAAGGCAAATTACCGCGAAAATTTTCCATCATTTTTGTCGACGGCCCCTTGTTTTCAAAATATTGCTGGATCCGTCCCTGTAACTGTATGACAGAAGCCTTTTAATTTACTTAACTTGGTAAAGGGCTTTTTTTTCCTTTTTCACTAGTGAAAATAACACATTCGGTTTTTCTCTATATAGTGGAAGTAAAAAAAGGTATTTTACGACATAATTTGCTTTCATATGGAATTATATGATAAATATATAGAATATTGCATGTTCGCTTGGAGATACGAATTTTATCTTCTCGTGTTGCTACGCTCACTCGTGAGAGATCTTTTCAACACTCGAAGATAAAATCCGTATCTCCGCGCGCCCATGTAATATCCTCTATTTATTATAAACTATAAGATTCAAATGCATACTAAAGAGGTTGTGCTTTACAGCGTATATATTTCACTTCTGTGCTATTTTACAATGAGCTATATAAACTATTTACTGTTTCTTAATTATCTATTTTGAAGTTTATCTAGTTTTTTTTTATTTTGCTCCTGGACACTGTACTCCATTGATGTCTTCTTCTGTGATGTCTGAAACTTTTCCGGTTAAGAATGGCTTGATCACGGACGCACTCATTTGAGCAGCCTTATAAAGGCAGATCTCTTGGATTACCTCGGCGTTGAGCTTAGGTGCTTTACCTCCTTCACACTTGTCTTGTAGAATTTTGGATTTTTGATCTGGTGTTATACCTGTTGGAGAACCACCATCGCACACGTCTTGTTGGACTATCTTGCTATTCATTCTACAATTCTCAGTGTAGAACTCCAGGCCTTGAACCTTACTTCGCTCTACTAAGGCTTCCTTAAACATCTGTTTTGTCGTGAATGGCTCACCATTCACTCGGCACTGGCTGATGGTAGSGCCTTCCAGTCTTTCAGCAGCGTCGTGAAGGTTATCGAAGGAGTTATCTCCCCTTTGACACCCTTTTAGAATCTAAATTTAAAAATGCATTTCTTAAAAATATAGACAGAAGAGAGTTGGCTGCCACATTATATTGACGTCTTTGAATTTCAAACTGTAAAATAAAGTTTGGTGGATTTGGAATTGAGCATTAATCCCAGAACACGCATTTTAAAAATCATGTACTAAGCAGCGATAACATTTAACAATATTGAAGCGATGAATCATTCTACACAACAGATACGATCAAGGCTAAAATTATAACACACCGATACCATTTTATGCAATTTCCTTTAATCAAGTGCTCTTGATATAAACCCTCCGACCTCCTRCCCTGGGAACCAGAGGCTGGATTTACTCGTTCTTGTAGTTTATATACGGCGCGAAGCGCCGTCCTTGAGGCCGAAGGCCGAACCGTAAACCAGCCTCTGGCGGCACGGATAGCGAATCTCACTTCCATGTCAGTGTTTACATTCAAGATCTGAATGTTGCAGCTGATTGGTCCGTTKATATCAGAGCGATATTATTGGTTGAAAATCAAAACCGGTTTTCAATCAGATACTCGACGAAGATTTACGATAACGTTCTTTCACATTAGATAATTCTTTGTCCTAAATGTTTTAGACTTTCGAGTTTTTTTAACTTCCGAGTGAAGGTGAGACATGTAGCTGCTCGCTATAAATTCAAAAGCAAATATYTTCTCTAAAAACGATCTTTTCTCTAGATGAATTGCAAGTCCMYTGTCTRCAAATTCKAGAGGCTGCAGCTACACACTTTGCAGATTCGTAAAGTATTGCTTTAACGACATCTTCTGGGGATTTTGCTTAGTTTACATTCTGTAAGAATTCTGATACACGACGGAGATCAGTGACCCGTAACATTTTACATTTGATTCTGACAACTTATCTTTCGTCGAGTATCTGATTGAAAACCGGTTTTGATTTTCAACCAATAATATCGCTCTGATATCAACGGACCAATCAGCTGCAACATTCAGATCTTGAATGTAAACACTGACATGGAAGTGAGATTCGCTATCCGTGCCGCCAGAGGCTGGTTTACGGTTCGGCCTTCGGGCTCAAGGACGGCGCTTCGCGCCGTATATAAACTATAAGAACGAGTAAATCCAGCCTCTGGTTCCCAGGGTACCGACCTCCATTAATCAATTTTGAATTTCATGTAACACATTGAGCCATCGTCGATATATAAGTCAATCAGCGGGCCAAATGAACAGCCTTACTTAGACTAATAGCTCGCAAATCACTTAATAGCTATAATATTTTGGTATAAATAGATACAATCTTACTTTTTCAGTCATCTGGTTTCTAGAAATCAAACACTTGTAGGCATATTCTTGTTTTGATAGGCAATTATCAATGATTTCCTGCATTTTACTTTTCAAATCCTTCCAATTGTTGCTGGTTTTAAACGCCCTACTGTATTCTGGGATGATTCGAATGCACTTTGCTGCCCATGCTCTCTGTGGCTGTCCATTATTTGGTGGAGGATTATTTTCGATCGTTTCTTTTACGTGTTCCAAGGCATCTACCATCTCCTGATCTTTCACCTCTTTTGATATGTGAGCTTCCAGCTTGATTATGAGCAGAAATAAAATATAAAAAAGAAACTAATTCAGGAAATACCTTAAGAAGTACTTTAGGGAAGTAAACAGGTCTATGCTGGGACTAAAAATTGGATCAACACGATTTTTCATATTTACGCGCTTCGATTTGGAAGTGCGGTTAATGAAACTGATTAGGTCTTGTAATATGAAAGGTGCTGCTAGTTTCCTGTGCATGAAGTTAATCATCAAAAGTATATTGTGTACAATAAGGTTGCCTTACCCCATTTCTCAAGGTCGTTTCAAACGATCTAACGCTTGTTTCTGTTTGTGATACTTTGTTTTCAGCATCTTGAACCTTACGGCAAGCTTCCTGTGCCTTGTCTCGTTTCTTTGCACACTGGACGAAGGTGTTGATAATGTTGAACAAATCGAAAGCTATATATCGAAAACAAGGAAATTTCAGCTTGTATGGATGGCATTTAGCTTAACTACTGACGCTTGCTGGAATCGTGTGCAAGTTATAAACCACATACATCATTTGTTCCTAGAAGAAGTGTGGAATCGATTCTAAGATGTGTCTTTTTATTTGTACTGCTTGGCTGTCTAGTTATTTTATATCACTTACCAATGCTTAAAACTGACAGTACTGTACCAGCAGCTTTGAAAATTTTAAGTCCTTTTAGAACAGATTTAGCTTTACCAGCATATTTTGCGATGGCAGTGTTCTTTAGGAACAACTTTGCTGTATCATCAGTGAATCCGAGGAGCTTTTTAGCTTGTGGAGATGCTTTAAGTAGTTTATCAAGTTCTGTTGCTTTCATTGCTTTATAAGCCTGACACAGATAATGAAGTTTGTGATCCTCGGCAAAAATGCCCTATTCAACAAACTATTCAACGATATTTGCTAATGTTAAAATCAACCAGCTCTACAATAGGCACCTTGCAGCTATACCAAGCAACCATAATGATCTACATAATCACAAAMCGACAGACCAGCCCACGTGGTAGCCAGGAATTGAACATCTGAACTGTATAGCTTTCTTACTCGTTTTAATTCAGCGATTAAATTAAAGCACTCACCTTGTTGACTTTGTAAGATTTGTATGCTTTAGCAGCAATCCCAGCACCACCTTCAATTGCTAAACCCACCCAAGATGTAGACAATTGAATTGCCAATTGTACTTCACTCAATTTTTGAAACGAYACGTCAATGTCTGACTTGTCAAGTTGCCCTTGAGATTCGGTTATGCCATCCTGAGAAATTAAATGTGATTAAATAAATTAAAAATCTAAGCAATCTTGATACGCTGCCTGAAAGCTAAAAAAATCAGGCATATTTTCCCGTTCGCTAATTGAAAATTTGTCTTCGTTCCCTCCCTCCTCCTGGTAATATAGGTACTGAAAACTCCAGTGACTCGTCAGCGTGACGGTTCTAGGTGTATGGGGCGTGATAGAGTAGCCATGATAACCATTGTATTGTGTTATGTATGTCGGTGTTGCCGTAGTAATCATTATGTTCTGTTCCGATTGGTCGATAGGTCAGGGTTGCCTTATTATCCATGATGTTTGTGTTGTGCTTATCTCACCTCCCAACCAAGCACCAACGGCAAGCTCATCTACTGGTGATGAGTTTCATTAAAATGTTACCTCTGGCTTTTTCTTATCTCAAAACTTTTCAAATTATCAAAAAATACAAAAAATAAATAAAAAAAAAATATATAAATGATTTTACATGCAATATAGTCAGTAAGTCAGTAAATGTTTCGTTTATCTTTAAGAAGGTTTACAGTATGTAACAATAGTTTTCAAAAATCTTACTCTGACTTCCTTTTCCTTAGTTATGAGAGCGTTTTTAACTGCTGCATCGATTGAGCCAAGTAGTCTTTCTTCGAGTTTTACCAAATTATTAATTCCTCCCCATAGATTTTGTAGCACTTTACCAAATCCTTCCAAAGTATCTTTTTTTGCCAATACTATTAAGATATATTAAATATAGATGAATAAGTAAATTGTAGTGTGATTATTATGTGTTTCTTGTCGTTGCATGCAAGAATGTTTGAAAGTGATGAGTCTTGCACACTATGGTCTGGCATATACAGCTTTACCTGCTTCAAGGTCTTTGTCGACTTGTCGAGAACGTCTTTTCACGTTGTCCCTTTTTCTGTTAAAGTTGGCCTCAAATCCACAAAGATAGCTAAACCCAATACCACAGCACCCTGCGATATCGTAGACTGTCTCGACTACTGTGGCAACAACTGTTACTATCAAACTGACGATGAATATGAAAAGACCAAAAAATCCTGAAATAAACAGATGCATCGAAAATTCATCGGTCTTTTCTATTCATTTTGATCCATTATCATCACATCAGAATAGTTACATACTGTGGAATAAATAACCAAATTTGGTTTAGATTTAGATTTTTGGTAACAGGTGATATTGGGTATTAGAAGAATACCAGAAATGGGATTTCAAGACTGTGCAACATCCCTACAAGCAAGGTTGAGAAGAGATACGAAGATATAAAAAAAAAAAGAGCGACAGCTGAGAGAGGGAGAGAGAGCACGAGAGAAATGGAAATTAGTCAGAAATKTTATTAATCTTAGAAATTAATGTGGAAGGTACCATGAGAGGTCACTGAGTTCAGGAGAACTATTCTTTGAACTATCCGCTGTTTTACTGAACCTTTCATTAGAGAGGTGAAACAGTAAAGAAAAAAACAACAACATACAAACAGGTTATCGCAGGTAGAACCATTATGAGATAAATACTTACTTCTTCCTCTGTTGAGTTGTCGTCCAATTCCTGATCTGAGAGTGATATCTGTTTAAAACGAATTTTAATAAAATTTAAAAATCTTATTAAATCTATGACTCTATTTTTACTAGCTATATTGAGTGATCATTAAGTCCCTGTTAAACTGTGCTATGAGCTTACTGTGTCGAGCCTCCACATCTTGTATAGTGTTTCCAAATTCGCGAGCTTCATCATCCATATCTAAAAAAATCATGAAGAAAATGAATAATAATAAAGATAAATTMCAATTCATGTAGACATTAAAGACACGAATTGTCCTGGAAATGCTGTTAATGCGAACTCCAAAAAAGTCTAAAAAAATAGTGATCCAAATTGTGATAGAAATTGTGATCTAAAGGTGACTTTTCTGCAAGATTTACCTTCATGCATCATTCGAGCAGATACAACAAGATGCCCATTGTAACTGGAACGAGCCTGAATGAAGTCTTGATGAAGAACAATCAGACAAAGAAACAAAGCCAGTCTTTTAGATGCACGAGCCATTGTTTCTTTTCAACACTGAGCGTATAAAGAAACCAAAATCAATTAACTTGATTTGAATTTGAAATGAATAAACAAACAGCTTATCATATAAAATGACATAGCAGGTTTATAATGTCATACCGTAATCGAAGCGGATCACATTCACAACTCAGAGACGGCATATACAAAGTGCTAGCTGAAACTCAAAAAGATATCATCTCTGTAGTACACGATGACATTCCACAGAAATGCCATATTTTGGCGACACACTGCAATGGTAAATCATCTAAAAGAAGTTATGTTTTATCTTGAGGAAGTTATTATTGTTCTCTTAATCTTCTCCAAGCGTGAAACCTGGGGAACGCCTTACAAGTTTTAATTTAAACATAATTAAATATAGCCGACCGTGGAGTAATTTTTGTTTATGAAACTTATGAATCAACATGAAAAAAAGTTGGTTCGTGCAACCATTATCATTTTCACTACCATAAAAGAATGACAATTTAGATTCTGCCAATTTGTTCTGTGATATACCAAAATTGAAAGTACTAGGGTACTAGTACAGTCGTGTAGAGTAATCAATTTGTATGTGCACTTCTAATTATATTAACTTGACAAATCACAAAGGACTGGTCTATGATCCATAAAATACATGCTAAAAGATCTTAGCAAATGAACAATTTGTCAGCATTTCATGATGTTTAAGATGAAACGTTTTGAGTCTCAAAGAACTAATACACGCCGAGTGTTAAAGATATGGCAATCAAACGTAAAGAATAATATCCAATAGTTAGAAGAGGTGCTATTGCCCATGTGAATGATTAGTCTAATTACCAGGAAGTCGGGTCGTTCTGAGTTTAAATATTCATCTCTCTTCGTTATTAGGTGAAGGAGCAGATTGCCTCCATGAGACGTAATGAAGGAAACAGCGCCATTATATTAAAGGTAAGGTTTGCGTACATAGTCCTTATATAATCTTATGTCCAGGGCAAAATAGAATTCAGAAAAAATGCTTGAAAATCAAAATATAATCCTAAACATTCTTTTATTACACTGATTTTAATACGCTAAAAGCAAAAGGGGCGAAAAACAATAAGTTTTTGGATGAGAATAAATTATGAAGAGATCAAGATGGTGTTTTTATTTGTTTGCTCTTATGCTTATTGCTATGATTAATCGATATCTTCAGCAGTTCTCCTGACTTCATACCTTTATCTTTTCTTTTGTTTTCAGTTTATGCCTAGTATGCTAATGGAATAATGACAAACCACGCTTGCGAAAAGCATGGTGTATGTATTGTACAATTTCTATGACGATCAGATGTTCTTCAATACCCATTCATAGGTATGATTTGCCATATCCCTTGATTCATCTACAAAAACATAATTCATGGAATCTTTCATCATCATCATTTCTTTTCGGCATAAGGATAGAATCTTTATGCTGTGAAAAATGGTAAATTCTCGTACAAAACGGGACGAAATCGTCGGGTTTCGATTGTTTGGCAACATTATTGATGATGGTGATGGATGCTACTTGTTCTTATTTTCTTCTTTTGTTTTCCGATGCACGTAAAATGTGAAGATGGGATACTGGGTAATTGAAATAATTTCTTACATGAACTGAAGATATGTAGCGGATATGCATTTCATTTGGCACGGTTTTCTCGAGTGTTGTCTCCTCATATTACGGTGGTGCTATGGATGGAAATGCTCTATAACATATGGGCACATAGCTACTTCATTAAAGGAAAGGTTGCGAGTTTATTGTGTAAGAGAATGGCGTTTTGAAATTGGATGTTGAAAGTGAAATTCAACTACCGACCGAATAGAACTAATGCGCTATTGGATCGATGGATTTCTCTTCTATTCAGGTTATAGTGTTCCTTTGAATTGTGTGAAGAATTTATCATCAGTTGGTTTATTGTTTTTTAAGTACAGGTTTATCGTTGATTGTTCTTAGTTCATTGCGCAGAATACCCGGACACATTCGAATCTTTTTCGTCTTTAAAGCGAATTTCAAAACGAAATCATTTATCGATATCAACACCAGAACTAGTCAGCAGATAATTCTCCAATACACACGAAACTAGACGGATTGTCTTTTGAAAAAGTCCATTTGTCTTAAACTGTCAATGAATGGATGTGGGTTCCCGGTGATAAAATGTTACCGGAAGTCTTGGACATTCATGAGCCAGCAGAGTGGTGGATCTGTATTTTTTACCAGAGCAAAATTACAGTAGTCGAATATTCACTGCCGGACGATTTAGTAAGTGGACATCTCTTGTCACATACAGACACTGACATCACTCCCTAGTTTTAGCGGACGTTACCATAAGTGGACGCAGATCGAGAATCTATCATAAGGCGAGTATCAATCAGCAATTTCCATCGATTTCAAACTCTAGTAGATATTATTGTCCGAAATGATCCTCCTTTTCAGCTTTGGATTCTTTGTGTTACCAAAAAAAGAGATGCTACTTCTATAAATGTTCGTCCCAAAACTGGGGTGTTCTTTCACTTCTCGGAAGGGGTAATCCAATACGCTTTTTTAAAACAAAAGAAGAAAAAGAAGAAAAAAGACAAAAAAGCAACTATTTTTTTTGAAAGACACAGCCGAACACAGAATTCTTTCCGAGAGAGTTGAAGACCTACCCCACGAATGAGCGATTGACTTCTTTTAGTTAAAGTACGGCTGTCACTCATGCGCATACGCATACGCGCGATCAAATAATTTTACTGGATGTAAAGACGGCTAAAGACGAGAGAGTACTAGATTGAAAGTTGAGTCTTGGGAGAATGAAAAGGGAGAATGAAAAGGCTGTTTGTAACTTTAAATTCGATACTCACAACACATTTAATACGACGTTGTGCTTTCAATGATTTATTACATTAGTTTATTTATGATTCTCTTTGGAATAAAATACTGCACTTTGTTCATCTATTTTACTATTTGACAAGTTTTTCATTTTTCTCATTGGCATTGTACGCCATCGATGTCTTCATCTGTGATATCCGGTTTTTTTGGCGTTAAGAATGGCTTCATTTGGACGGTAGTCAATTTAGCTCTCTTGTACATGCAGATGTCAGAAATAACATCAGCATCAAGCTTAGGAGCCTTCCCTCCTTCGCACTTTTGTAGAACTTGTGCTTTTTGTTCCGGCGTGAGACCTGAAGGGGATCCTCCACTACAAACCCCATCTTGAACTATCTTGCTGTTCATTAGACAATTATCAGTGTAGAACTCCATGCCTTTCTCCTGACTTCGCTTTACTAATGCTTGTTTGAACATCTCTTTTGTTGTGTAAGGCTCACCCTTAACCTTGCACTGGTTTATTGTAGGGCCTTCAAGTCTTTCCGCATCGGCGTAAAGCCTTTCGAAGGTTTTGTCTCCTCTTTGACAGCCTTTCATTATCTAGACATATACAAGTGTCTAATTTTGAAATGTCTGGACTCATATTGTTATTTTTTATAAAACACAACATACTTACTTTTTCATTCATCGTATTTCTGGAAATCAAGCACTTGTAGGCATATTCTTGTTTGCTTAAACAATCATCAATGATTTCCTGCATTTTGTTTTTCAAATCCTTCCAATTTGTACTCCTTTTAAAGATGTTGCTGTATTCGGGGATGATTCTGATGCATTTTGTTGCCCATGATCTATCCGGCTGTCCATTATTTGGCGGGGGATTTTTTTCGATCGTTTCTTTTACGTGTTCTAAGGCATCAAGCATCTGTTTATCTTTCACCTGTTCAATTATATGAGCTTCCAGCTGGAAAGTGTAAACAGATAATGTAAGAGAGCTGAGTGATATATAAAACTGTGAACAGTTGTCCAGTTAACTACTCCAAAAGAAGTCAGAATCAGTTTTCTGCGTGCATTATTAACAAAAGTAGCCAGCTCTGGCAAACTGGATGGCTAACCACATATTACTTATAAATTTTTCGTGAGACTACAAATGGTGTTCATCATGTACTATCCTACGATGATGCGAGGGGGATACTRAAAAATTCAAATGTAACTCTACTTTCGACGGACATTAATTACTTAGGCCCTTTGCCCCCTGCGGAGCATAGGCCATCGATCAGCTTCCTCCAGCGTACCCGGTTCTGGGGCCCCTCCCTTGATCTCAGTCCAATCGACTGACATTACTTCATAGTTAATATGCCTTTCATAATCGCTCTTTCCAAACTCGAGGGCTGATTATCAAAGTGCAGCTTTTGGTGAATTAAACAAATATATCTAGTATCAGGCTTACCCCACTTTTTAAAGTGCTTTCAAACGCTCGCACATTTCTTTCTGTTTCTGATACTTTCCTTTCGGCRTCTTCAACCTTACCGCAAGCTTCTTTGGCCTTTTTTTCTTTTCCTGCACACTGGGCGAATGTGTTGATGATGTTGAACAAATCAAACGCTATTAAATACAAAGCAGTTTCAGCTTGTAACAACTCAAAATAGGCTCGGCTTGGACGTAGATCTTTTGTCGCGTCTATAATCTAGTTGCTAGAGTTGAGTTTATGAGGATTTCGCACTGCGAAGGTATTTAGTAATATTGTCACTTCTTTCAGCTGGACGAATAGTGTCCGTAAATGCCAGATGAACCAGACAGCAAAATACTTACATTCCTGCATGCACGCAGTTTTGTTAGACGCGGCAAAAGATTAACATCTGAAGCGTGTCTAAAAATTTGCAGTCAAGTTCAGTCATTCTTAACGAGATGTAAATTTATTTAAAATAGAACAAATTTATTTACACCACTAGCATTACATGAATGCTGAGACRTTAAACTTATGGCTTCGCTTTGTGGAGAAGTTCAGAACGCAAAAGGGAAAGATGTCAACTAAGAAGTTTTTATGCTCTCATTTTAGGTTTCAAGAGGTATAGTTTAAAACACGATCTCGAGTGTTTTAAACGGCTTAAAAAACTCCAACACTAATTTGAAACTCAAATCCGTTAAAATTCTTGGAGAAATTGCCGTACAAATATGTTCAGAGATAAATGGGGCAAACTGATCATGCGCGAATCACTTTACAAAATAAAGTAAAATAGAACCGCTCTTGGCTGTTTACTGAAATCGATTGACATCCTGCATTGGTCAAAGATCAGGTTTCAAACCTGAGACCTTTGCTAGGGTCATGGACCTTTATATCTGATAAAGGTCACCCTTATTAGTATTCTTTATATAACGAATACTAATAAGGAGTATTTTATCAGATATAAAGGTCCATGCATGTGACCAAATAGGCTCATTCTATTGGCCTAGTAGCTCATTAATTATGTATGAGTTTTTTAAGTATTTTTAAAGCACTGATCAAGAGTAGTATAAATGCAAGATTTAGATAAAAGTCTTTGCTTAGAGCACGCGAAGCTGCTGGCTGTTTTATTATTATTTTTTGTTTGTTTATTTCAGTCCTATGGCAAGGATTGCATTGTTTCGTAATGTTATTTTTGGTGAAGTGAGAGACGAAGCTAAAGATTGATGGCGTGGAAGTTAAGACCGAAAAAGATGTTCGATACGAAGATACCCTCGAAGAAGAAGAGCTGTTATAGAGAAATGGCTGGGACTGTTTAGAAATATTGCAGTGAGTGCATTTGAAATACACTTTATTTCTATATATATGATCCGGATTAGAGCCGATTAGGATCAAATGGAAATAAGCTTCTCAGAATTTATATCATTAGCTTGGAAGATATTTTGATAGTTTTTGATAAAAGTGTATTCGAAAATGTATTGGATTGCTTGATTTTATTATTCGAGAGTAACTCAAAACAAAGCTGATACAGATTATAACTGTACACTGTGTTTTTTTTCAAATCTATTATAACGACCACTAATGATTGTAACTAATTTGTATTTTCATGTTAATTGGTTCAAACCAAGCTTTGACTGTAAGCTCTTCAAACAATCCCAGTTCTTTTGTATGTTTGTACAATGTTCCCGTTATAATTGATTTTATAGATTTGATTGGTTAGAACACTTAATAAATACATCATGATTTATAAATGCACATGACAGTTCCCCGATCATATTTGATATATTACATCATTACTTACCGATGCTTAGGACAGACAGTACTGCTCCGGCAGCCTTGAAGAATTTCAGACCTTTAAGAAAGTTTTTTGCACCACTAGCAAATTTTGCAAGGCCAGTGTTCTTTAGGGCCACTTTGGCTACGTCATCAGTGTATCCAAGAAGTTTTTTAGCTTTTGGGGAAGCTTGGAGAAGTTTCTCCATCTTCGTTGATTTCGCTGCATCAGCAACCTTGAAACCAATGAAGAGCTTAAGTGTTTACAGGTGATAATGTATACTTTACTAGCAAATTAAATAAGAAACTATGAAATCGACGTCCAACTATATCAAAAAATCAAAAAAGTGCTCCAAACATTAACAACCTTTTTAAAAGTTCACACCAAGACAGTTATAATCTACARTCTTCTGACTCTTTCTAGATAACTTATCCTGCTCTTCTTAAGATCCTGATTACTCACCTTCCTGACCTTGTAAGACTTGTAAGCCTTACCAGCTATTTCGGCACCACCTTCGATGGCTACAGCCACCCAAGATGTGGACAATGAAATTGCAAGTTGTGCTTCACTCATTTTTTGAAACGATATTTCAATGTTTGACTCATCAAGTTGGTCTTGAGCCTCAGTGATGCTATCCTGAGAGAGAAGTTGTATCGATAATCAAGTAGCAAGCAGAATTTCAGACAACAATAGAACATGTTCTTATAGCTGATTTTACCTAATAAATCCTGACAATTCTGAACTTTATCATTTTCAGTCAAAGTTATTGATTGTGTGAAGCTGGTGTAGTCAGATATATAGCCACAAAAACTCAGTCCCTTACGACGCCGATAGAACGATAAACAATGCATAGTCAGTGCTCTTGTAATACAGTATCAGTTGTAAATAACAAGGTTTACAGTGTAGCTCTATTTCACAATAGACTTACTTACTCTAACTTCTTTTTCTTTTGTAATTAGAATGTTTTTAAGAGTTGCATCGAATGAGCCAAGTAGTTTTTCCTCCAGTTTCACCAAGTTAATAATGCCTCCCCACAATTTTTGTAGAACTTTGCCAAATTCTTCCAATAAATCTTTCTTTTGCAGCGCTGTTAATGCACGCAAGTGCAAAAGAAGAGGTGTGAATGAATAAAGTGATATTTTGGATAACCTATCATGATAATACTAGTACATTGGACTATCATTGCCAGCATACACGGACTAATCAGACCAGGGATTATTTGCTCACATGCAATTTCGAAAGGGTTATTTTCATACAATCAATCTTATTAACCTGGTAGAAGATTGTAACAAAGTCATTTGCATATACTTGCTTTTAACGTTTTGCAATCTTGCCCAGTATCAATTTGCCCACATTTAAATTATAGTGAAGAAAATTTTCACAAAATTTGCCGTTTTTATTTTTCTTTCCGGTAATTGCAGAAGCAGTTTTCTGCAAATGACTGTCTTGTTGTCTTTGTGTTTTTTTGCTATATGCAACGTCATTAAGATTGAGTCTGGTTTATTTATACATTGTCTACCATTAAGTTTACCTTTTTTAAGATCTTTATCGACTTGCTCAGATCGTCTTCTGGTATTGTCTCTTTTTCTGTTAAAGTTGGCTTCAAATCCGCAAAGATATTTAAACGAAAGACCACAGCACCCTGCAATGTCGTAGACGGTCTCTACCACAGTGGCTACAACTGTTACCACCAAACTAACGATGAATATAAACAGACCGAAAAACCCTGAAAGAGAAAAGATATTGAGATAACACTCCAATATTGTTTTGATGAAGTCTTCTTTTTATTTAGAAAGGTTTTGCAGCCATTTCGTTACCATTACTTTATCAGGTTTGTGGCTCGCTGGTAGTGAAGATCACTGGAAAACACCATCATCGTATGATTATCACCAAACATAAATTGTTTTATTGGATTGATGAATAATACTGGCTACTTAAAACATCTCGATTAGTTTTTTTTTTTTTGTCTTGTGTTTTCATTGAAAGTGTATTGAAATTCCTTGAGCTTCGGACAAATGCAACATGGTGAATAATTCAAAAAAATAGAATAGAATAGAATAGAAACCTTTATTTATTATAAGGCTCAGGGTAACCCTTTCAGAGCCCCGAGGGGCACTGATATCAATAGGGGCCCTGAGCACACTCTTAATACAAATACTTATCTAAGCTAAAAGGATAAAAATATGAAAAAGCTATTTTATTACAATTTAAATACTATTAATATTTACAAGAAGAGAGAGAGACAAAAAAGGGATATGAAAATTTAAACACATATAATTCATGAAAGAATATGGGGAAAAAAATCTATACTATATATTTGAATGAATAAAAATTCTTTAACTATTTTGCAAGGTATGAAAAATCTTGCAGCCGTGGTAGTAAAAAGAACGCTTGGCGAACTCAGTCTTTACTTTTGGCAAATGTAGGTTACTACTCTGTCTGGTGTTTCGAGTACAGAAATCCCTATTTAAGACAAAATAGTCCTTAAAAAACTGTGGGCAACGCCCCTTAATACATTTTTTGACAACTTTAWAGGTGTTATYATTTCGACGAYCAACTAGAGCAGGCCACTTWAGCATTTCAAGTGCTGGTACAGAACGCGAACACTTGTTAACTATCCTAGCTGCTCTATTTTGAAGACGTTCTAAACTMATCAAACATTGCTTGCCCAACTAGCATTTCACYATTTGGTCTTCTTGTGGAGAGTGTTGGATTTCCTTTAATGAAGCATTAATTAAATATACAGAGTGGAGTTCTACTCAATCAAAATCTATTCAGCATTTCATTTTTTTCTTATTTGAAGTCATTTGGCCATACGGGAAGATTTTGTGATGCTCCATCCTTATTACGCCTTACATTGTATGATGGCGGTTGTTGATTCCCGGAATTTTTCGCTTACCCACGTCTCGTTAGAAACGTTTAGTCACAAGTACTTTTCAAAGTAAAGGCTAAAATTGAGAAAAGTTTTCTATATATCTTTATTGTGKGCAGATCCACGTGCTCTGTGACTAGGAGACCATTTTTATGAAGAGGTAATAAAATATAATTGGGCACAATACATACTTTTTCCTCTGTTAAGTGGCCTTCCAATGTCTGATCTGATAGTAATATCTGTAACAATCAAAGTAAAAGTATGTTCTTTAAGTTAACCTGTTCAAATTAGTTGGGAATTTTCTAACTTATCAAAAATCTAGGATTTATTGAGGAATTGATGCTCACATATTCAATCCACT